ACTTAGAGACAACACTTTGTTTCTTAGAACATCACACAATCGGGTTGCCTCCAAGGTATAGACAATAACCTGTCGTGGATAGTCGATCTTCCACCGATGTTGCCCAGTCTGCATCAGTGTAGCAGACTAAACTGAAATTTGCAGCTTGAGTGAAAAACAGTCCATGCTCTATTGTCCCACTGAGATATTTGAATATGCGTTTCGCTGCCCTCCAATGAGTATCACATGGATTATTCATGTACTGACTAACCTTGTTAACAACATAGGCTATGTCAGGTCTTCTTAAACACACATATTGCAGACCTCCCACAATACTACAATAGAGATGAACATCTCCAAACAACTGTCCATCGTTTCCCTTGAGTTTAGGAGCAAGGACCATAGGTGTAGGAGTGGGTGTTGACTCGTCTAAGTTTGACCTTTTCCACAACTCATAAATATATTTCTTCTAATTTAAAGCCAAGCCTTCTGAAGTATGTTCAACTTGCATCCCAAGAAAAAGCTCTAACTGACCCAAATCTTTAAGTGAAAACTCATTATTGATTGCTTGCACTACGTAATCCACTTTTATTTTCTGTCTTTCCTTGATGACAATATCATCAACATACACCATTAAAAGCACTTGTGAGCATGCTTAATTTATGATAAACAGAGAAGAAAATCAGCTTTTGAAACAGTAAAACTCAAGCTTTCAACAAGAAAATTTCTCAAGGTCTCAAACTATGCTCTAGGAACTTGTCTAAGCCCATAAAGAGCCTTCTTTAAACAACACACTAACTCTTTTCCATCTTCACTTCTCTGCTCAAATCCTGGAGCCTGACACATGTATATTTCCTCAGTTATCTTTCCATTTAGGAATATATTGTTGATATCGAACTGCCTAAGTGGCCAATCTTTCATGACATCAACAACAAGAACAATCCTTATTGTACTCGCTCGAACCACTGGACTAAATGTCTCCAAGAAGTCTCTTCCCACCATTTGCGAATAGCCCTTGGCTATTAGATGAGTCTTGAACCTGTCAACTGTTCCATCATGCTTCTTCTTCACTTTAAAAAGCCACTTGCAACCTACTGCCTTGCAAGTTGGTGGCAAAAGTTTTAACTCCCACATACCATTTTTCATAAGAGCATCATACTCATTATGAATAACTTCACGCCAAGCAGGATGCTGTAATGCTTCATAGACATTAGCTGGCTCTTGAGGACTTGTCTCAACAAGCAACACCTTAGGTTTAAAAATGCCAATTTTCCCACGAGTGACCATGGAATGAGTATTCTGAACAAATCGAGATGGTGGTGGCAGTGGTTAGGATGATGTAGTGGATATGGATGGTTCTGAAGTGGATGAATGAGATGGATGATATGGAGACAAAGTGAATTGATGTTGTAATGAAGTGAGAGATGGATCATGTGGTGAAGTGAAAGATGGTGATTCTATTGGTTCTGAGAGTGATGTGGTGGTGTGGAAGATGGTAAATTCAAAGGGTGATGTGACGAAACTGGAGATGATAATTCTAACAAGTGTTATGGTAATATAAGAGATGATAATGCTGATGAGGAAATCAACTTGCGTCTGTGTATGTTAGTGGAAGAAAAAGAAGAAGATGAAACAAACTCTTTTGAGGACAAAGGTTTTTGACACTTAAGTGCTTTTGACTAGTTCCAGTAGGACTCTTTAACTTTGACAGAGTAGAAGTATTAGGAAAATTTTAATGTTGTTGATAAGGAAACTCATGCTCTTCAAACCGAACATAGCTTGACACATATACACGACCGTTAGAATCTAAGCACTTATATCCCTTATGAGTAGGGGAATAACCCAAGAAAACACAAACAGAAGAACGAAACTGGAATTTGTGTTGGTCATAAGGTTTTAAAAAGGGTAACACACGCAACCAAAAACTCTTAAAAAACTATAATTTGGTGTTTTATGAAAACTCTTTTCATATGGTGATATGCCAAACAAAGCATGTGTAGGAAGTCGATTAATAAGAAACACTGCACTAGAAAAAGCATCATTCCAAAAACTTACAGGCATTGAAGCCTGAGGTAGCATAGAAAGACCTACCTCAACTATCTGTCGATGCTTCCTTTATACCAAGCCATTTTTTGAAGTATGAGGACATGATAATCTGTGCAATTTACCTTGTTCTTTCATGTAAACTTGAAGAGCACCAAATTTATCCCTTCCATCCGACTAAAAAACCTTGAGCTTGACACCAAATTGCCTCTCTACCTGTCTATGAAATTGGAGAAAAATAGTCTCGACATCAGATTTTTGCTTTAAAAAATAAATCCAAGTATATATGTTGTGAGCATCAATGAAATCAACATAGAACCTAAAACCATTAGAATATATGGGAGCAGGGCCCCACACATCAGCTACTACAAGCTCTAGAGGTTGTGTATAAACAATGTGAGTCATAAAAAGGCAACTTGTGTGATTTAGCAACTTGAGTGGGGGTAGCAGTTATGACAATAATAACATATTCAATTTCAGGTGGCAAACCATTCAATATAGCAGTAATATGTTCATGTTCTGATATTATCTCACCACAGCTAGCTAGATTGTCACAAACAAATTTATTTTTCATCAAATATTCTCTCATACTCAGTTCTCTCTTCCTCTGAGAATGAAGCATTCTCCTATAAGACATTAACCTATAAGTAGTTTTGCCACTGTACAACCTATGCAACGTATTCCAAATCTCAGCTGCAGTATTGAGTCCTATTAGATGAGGTAAAACGTCTTCACTAATAGTGGAGAGCAACCATGAAGCAAGAGCTTCATCTCGCTCCTCATACGGCTCATATTCAGGATTCAGACTTACTATGCCATCTCTAGTCACATACTGTGTAGGCCAAGAAATATTAGAATCTATATACTTCTGCAATCTGTGAGTTTTGATTGTAAGAAAGACTTGTTGATGCCATATCAGGTAATTGTGATAATCTAATGTCACATTAATCTTCTTAGTAGATAACAACCTATTAGAGGCAACAGAAGCATAACTAACAATAGCATTTAGGGCACTTTCATCCACAAAATTAGACATACAGAAAACAACACAGGCAGAAGGCGAATCGCAAAAGACCAACCAGAAAACAACAGATAACAGAGAAAGAAGAATGCAACATGCCAATCCAATCGGAAAAATAAAACAGTCTCACCAGAATCAAAGATCAATCGGAGAGCAGAGAAGATGCGACGAATCAATCTGATTAACAACAGTAACCAAACTTGACGCAGAACAGAAGCAAATCCACCTCATCAAGAAGCACAAAACATATCATTAGGCAATTTGCGACTGGAAGCAAAAAGAGGTTAAGCGAAGAAGAACAAAAACTGAAGAAAAAGAAGAAGCAAAAGAACTAAATCGGAGCAGAGCGGAAGACAAACGGTCGCAGGATCTTAAGCCAATGATACCATGACAAGAATTATACAACATTAGCTACAAGAGATCAACAATGGAGATTCAGTAAAGAAAGTATGGAAGAACTATGCACAAAGGATGAAGACGATAGGAATATTGACTAAGGTCAACAAAGGATAGTCAAAGACTAAGTAGCCGAATATTATTCATTTCATAAGAAATGGATTACATTACTTTGTTTAGAATAATAGATAGACCCACTATATATACAACAATCCAAATAACAAAATAGCCCAACTAAATAGAAGATAGTTACAATAAACTAACCATAAGGGTTACAATTAACCATATCTGAATAATACTCTAATAGTGAGCACCGCTAAATTTGAAGGAAAGTTTAATGTGCGTATTTATTTTTTCTATATGGTTAAAGCTGTAAATAAAGGGATCATAAAACTCGAGGTTGCACCACACTCCAAATTTACGGCATAACTATTTTTAATTTATCAGCATGCTGTGACATCGACACATACAACCTACCTTTAATGTATTAGCATGTTAGTGACAGACACAACACCCACATTCTGATCAAATTAATTTACTAAAATTGAATTAATTAATTTTTCTTTTACCGTTAGTTAATTTTGTTTAAAATCATTAATTGTATAAGAAAAAAAAATTAATTAATTCGTCGGTGACCGAATTAATTGATCTTTTATAATTCTTTAGATTAATTTAAATTTAATAGAGATAATCTTTTAATTGAGTTAAAATTTAATTATGTCTTGACAATTTATCGAGTCTAATATGATTTAAAAAATAATTTGGTCTTAATTCTTTATAAGTTTGAATTTAAAATAAATATATAATATGTATAATATATTATATATTATATATTAAATATTTTTTGATTAATTCATTTAATTAATCAATTTAGTACTAAATTAACCGTTAACTAAAAATTAAAGATTCTCTAACTAAACTAATTCGATGGTCAACCGTTTAAACTATTCATATAATTGGTTAATTTGATTAAAATCTAAAAGTGAATCGGGTGAAGCTAATACATTGTCTTGTCATCTTTTTGGGGCGTGAGTGACGCATCCGGAAAATGGAAGGGTTGAAATGGGAAAATGTAAACGGCCAAGAACTTCGTGGTTTAGCGATCTTAAAGATGAATGAAAAGTTGGTTTAGAAACCCATCACCAAATAAAAATGAAAAGAGAAGAATAGCTATCCCAACAAATTAGCAATGAAAAGAGGCATGGCAGTGCTTCCCTCACACAAAACACTCTAAAAATAGGATTCCCAATGCCCCCAGATCTTTTTGGCGGTTCAGATTTCACTCTTTACATGCCTTTCACTTCTCAACTTCCCATCTACTCTCCACCCTTTTCCCCATTCACAATCTCCTGCAAACCCCTTTGCTTCTTCCTTGTACTTGAATCTCTTTGTGGATCCCATTTTGTCCTTTGCTTCACTTTATTTAAGTGAGTGTGTGTGATTACCTAGTCAACTCAACACTGATCTCAATATCGATTCATTGAGATCAAACTTTATGGTTTTGGACTGTCATTTTCCTTAGGATTTTAACCTTGTTGATTGAATGGGACATAGATTCATGATGTCTCCCAACAGAGCTGAGGGGCAGCAGTTTGTTATCAACAATGGGATTCAAGAAGGTGTTCTTAATCCGCAACAGTTCACGGCGATCGACCCCATGGCGGCTGTGGTTTCGCACCAGGCCGATTGGCTTCAGTTCCAAATGGCTGCCGTTCAGCATCAGCAGCAGCAGCAACAGCAAATGACAATGTTGGATTCCAGTTTCAGTGTTCCGGAGTCGGTTTACGAAAACCGAGTTGTGGATGTTGGGTACAATGAGAGCCAACTAGCTATTACCATGGCGATGCCTGCAATGTTGGAGACATCTTCGGAATCTCGACCGACTGCGCCTAGGAAACACAGATTTTCGGATGTGATGGAGAAAACTATCGAGAGAAGGCAAAAGAGGATGATCAAGAACCGCGAGTCCGCAGCGAGGTCCAGGGCAAGGAAGCAGGTTGATAAATATATATATATATATATAAACACATATACATACATATATGGATATGTGGTCTTAAAATAAGCATGTGGTTGTTTGGTAATCGTAGGCTTATACCAATCAATTGGAGCTTGAAGTAAAGCAATTAAAGAAAACAAATAGCTGGCTCAAAAGGCAAAAGGTAACTTACTTGAACCTTCTTTCTTGCAAAAGAAGTAGATGCTTTAAGCATTAAAAGGAGACAACGAATGACCTGGGTTTTTTTTTCATTTTTATGAATGTTTATTAACAACATAAAATTGCAAGGAAATAGTTCAGTAACTTCAGTATTTTTATAAGATTTCTGAAACTTTTGAATCCATTTAGTGACCTTAGTAGTTAAAATGAGTGTAGTTCTAAGAGTGTAGTTCTTTCTTAAAATTCTTCCTTAATAGTTAAAATGGGTTTGAATAAGTCTTTGCAAGAAAAGTGTGGCTTTTCATCGGTCAATAAATAAGGATGAGTGAAAATAGATAGCTGATATTAGCTCTTCTTTTTTTCGTGAATATCTTTGTTAATCTCGTTCATCTATTTTCGCTAATCCAATAATTCTAAATCTATATAAAACTAAACCAAACCCATATATATGTAAAACATAGTTCCATGAATTGTTGGTTTTTTAAGGTTGTTAAAGTTTGGAAACGTTGAACAGTGACTACCCATTTTTTGTTTTAACAGGAAGTGGAGATGCTGTTGTCCTCAAATACAAATGATACAGTGCCGAAGTACCAGCTTCGACGTACGAGTTCAGCTTCGTTTTAGGATATTTGTTAATGGCTTACACCATTTTTTATTCATTACCAGCCTAAAAAAAATTATCATTAGCTATTCTATTTATTCATTCTTTAGTTAGATTCACTTAGCAACTCTCTTTCATTTATTTATTTTATTGTATTGAGATCTTTCTTTTCTTAATTTTTTTTACAATTAAGGTTTCTTATCATGAATTTTACTTTTTCTAAATAATTTTATTTCTAAATAATATTTTAAGTTATGTATGATTAGTAAGATACATTAATACACTAATAATTAATACCCTAACAATATTTTGAAAGACTCTTTATTCATTCACATTAAGCACAAGCAACCTAACAACCATCGAGGGTGCTTAATGTATCCGCTTTATACATGTAAAATTTTCTTAGCATTTTCTATAGATGTTGCTTGATACAATGATTTAATTTTTAGATGTTCAACTTGTAACCCTAAATAAAATATTATCTTTCTAAGGTATTTTTCTTAGTTTTTTTTCTTAGTTTTTTTTTCTTTAAGTACTGTATTATCACCAAAATCTCTTCATAAGACACAAAGATGTTTAAATTATCGGCGTTTTTTAGCGGTACTGTATTGTCACCAAAATCTCTTCATAAGACACAAAATCTCTTCTCACAAACACCACTAAAGGTTATGTTTCTTAGCGGCTTTTTTTGCCGTTATTTATCTTTTCTTTTGATGTGTTTTATCTCAAAAAAGTCGCTAAATGTTCTGACATATAATTGCGTTTGTGAATGTAAAACGCACTATTGACTACGTATATAGTGTCGTTTTCTGTATAAACACCGTAAAAGATCTAGAACTTTAGTGGTGTTTTTAAAAAATGCCAGTATTGACTATGTATTTAGTGGCGTTTTTTAATACAAATGCCGCGAATTAAAACTAATTTTTCAAATGTTGTTTTCTACTCTTTTGTTACTCAAATTTAACCTGTAGCATTATCCAATAAACTTGACATCCATAACAAAACTTAAAATCGATAACAAGAAACTTGAAATCCATAATAATAAATCAAAGTTTACATTAACGTAAAATATAATATAGTTCAACATTATTAACTAGAATAAACAATAATAACACCTAAGATGGTGAACTCTGGGGTTGATTTTGAAAGTTTTCACATTTTTTCTGATATGATGCTTCTCTATCAGATTCCCTTGCTTCAGTTTTGACTCCATTTCGATATTCGTCGCTTACCCTTGACAAATTCATCCAACTCTTATCTATTTCGTATTTCTGGATCATAAAAAGGGTAGAAGAACACGAGTGAAAAGCAAAAGCAATGAAGTAAACTCTGCCCTTCAAGGATCAGTACTACTTCGTTCAAAGAGAGTAAAACCAAAATAAATGCAACAAGAAAGAGCTACAATGTGTCAATGTACCAGCACCAGAGACGAACTAACTGGACTCAATCTACTACAACTACAATTTTCTGTCAGTACATTAATTCTCAAGCTGAATTTTAGTGTGATGGCAAAAAGAAAGTTATGACATTACTCTTCACCAAAAAATGCAAAACTTCTTTTTGGATAAATAATAATAACTTCCAAACAAAAGTAAACAACACATCACCCTTTACAAACCAAAATATTATCAGATAAGGTAGGTCCATATCTGATATGCTCCACCATGAGGTTCTTGATTGTACACAAACACAAAATGTCCAGCGCAAGAACTAAAATTCTAGAAAAGAAAAGCTTTATATATTTCATTTTAATCTTAGATTGTAAGCCTTCTTACTTGCCAGAAAAACATTGCACTAATCCAAGAAATTTTCTTGCAATTCACTCTAAAATCAAAGAACTGACAGCAAGGGTGGGTCTGGAAAATGGTAAATTGAGGAAGAAACAGAAACTCCAAAACCATGAAAATACCCAGCTAATATGAAGATATAAATAGAAATAAATAATCAACCAACAAAACACCATTCCTATGGCATAACATTATGTTTACCTGGAAAGCAGATACGATTTCGTATGTATTGCCTTGAAAATGATCGGGCTGCAAAAGAAAAATACAAAAATAAATAAATAAATCAATACCTAAATTTAGATTACCTACACTTGAATGTATTAAATGATCATATGACACATAAGAAACGATGAAAAGAGAATCTAAAATAGCCTTTACATGTTAAAAGAACCTACTTTCTCATTGATTGCATTTTGCATAAGGAAATCAACTTCTAAAACTAGATAATCTTAAAAGAACCTACGTTCTCAGGGATTGCATGTTACCACCAAATGTAAATACTTCACGCAATTTGCATCCCAAACTTGAGACTTGTGTCCTAGAACATACATGGGAATATGAGCACCATGGATCCTCTAAATACATTGGAAACTTAGAAAAATCCCATGTTAGCGCAATAGAGACTGTGATATCGCTCGTGATACGGCGATAGCGGAACCCTCCGCGACCGTTATTATATGATCGCGACACCTGCAATCACGCAATAGTGCTTGCTATGCCCGTAATCACGGTAAATGTGACTCGATCGCGATTTGAATACCAGCATAAACCATATCCGATACTCAAAACAAAGTCCAAGTAACTAAGTTTAGAATACCCGATAAAAATAATGTCTTGGGCAACCTACTCACTTCTAAAATATCAACTTTACACAAAAGGTTATTATGCCATGCAACAATGAAGTGGTTCCATAGAAGGAATTAACAGTGGAATTGCAGAAAAAAATTAGAAAAGGCAGTGGACTCACATTGTCCTTAGGTGACTCAAGTTCCCAATGCTGGGTGACAGCATACCTGATACTGTTCTAAATCAAACTCTCATTTCACTTTCTTTAATAAAAAAAAAATTAACAATTCAAAGTTTAGTTCAGGAAAGGAACACAGTTCCTTACAATGAGATAACAAAACCTTCAGCAAAACAAGCCACCATGTCCCATGTACAAGGATCAACCGAGTTACTATCCCAGCCATCAATAACATGACTATCATCTACATTCTCATCTACTTTCTCTCTCTTCACCATCATCAAAGCAGCCACTTTTATTTTCAATGCCACCCCAAAAACAAATCAACACTAAAGATTTCAACAGTTCTAAATCAATGGGGTATCATTCTTTTTTGACTTTTCCCGCTAATTTTTAAGATAATAAATTAAGAACCCAAAAAACCCACTTCATAGTTAACTCCTGCAACAGAATGGACCCAATAAACCCGACATAAAAGCAACACAAACTACTCACATTACATACTAAAGCAACGACAAAAAGAGAAGCTAAAGTTATTGACTTTGGGAAATGAAAGTAAGGTCAAAATCTACTGATTGAGAAGTTTGAATCAGCTAAAGTGTGGGTTTTTATTTTGAATCACATCTGTTTGCAGCTCATTGCTTTTAGATTCTCCATTTGTTTACAGTCTTCGGCTAAATAAGTTAATATTTTCGAGTATGAAAAAAGTAATGCAAAGGCTACACCAGATACGTTCAAACCAAACAAAATAGTTCAAACCAAACAAAAGGAGAACACTTTCCAGAGAAATAAAGCACACTTCCTGTGTTTTATCCTGTTTCTCAAAATTAAAATAATAAACATATTAGCAATCAAAAGGGTAAAGTTTGAATAATAAGGCTTACATTTTTATCACAACTAGGAATAGAGATATTCCCATCATACCAGTGAGCACTCATCACAGTTTCAATGTTATCAGCAATCAAATCCCTCGATTGCAAACTGTAACACATCCCTTGCGTCCCCATTGATATACCATCGCTAACCCCCAACGAGAGATTAGAAATGACGGCGCGATGACATTGTGCCGGAGATAAATAAGGCTTTTGGAACGATGATGGTGATTGGCGCGTTGAGTTGGAGGAAGAAGAACTTTTAAGAAGAGATTCAAAAGATTTTAAGGATCGGGCAGGAGAAAGGCTGGAGATATATTTATCTTTTGGTGATGTTTTGAGAAGAAACGCCATTAATGTATACGTTTTTACGGCGTTTGTATAACAAATGCCACTATTTACGTGTCTATTGTGGCGTTTTTTTGAAACGCCACTAAAGTATGTGTTTATAGCGGCGTTTGTGTAACAAATGGTGTTATATATCGGGCTATCATGGCATTTTAACATAAACGCCACTAAAGTACTCTTACTTTAGTGGCGTTTACACAAAAACGTCACTATATATCTGGCTATAGAGGCTTTTTACATAAACGCCACTATAGTACGAGGTTTTAGCGGCGTTTTTATAAAATCGCCACTATATATCTGGCTATAGCGGTGTTTTCTACATAAACACCACTAAAGTATGTTTTTCTAGCGTCGTTTTCCCACAAACACCGCTCAATTAGTCATATTATTTAAATAAAATGTCGAACTATTATTATTAATGACTGTCTAAAGATTATCTTTCATTAGATATGCTGGGTTCTTTTCTCGAAAGAAGATAAAGGACAATTATAGAAACACAACGCAATCATGTTTGACACTTGGTTGAAATCTAAATACTTAACTTAGAAGCTATTTTCAATATATGGCTATAGCGGCGTTTTTAACATAAACGCCACTAGAGTATGTGTTTCTAGCGACGTTTCCCCAAAAAACGCCTCTATATCTTAGGAGTTTGTCTAAAAACGTCGCTATATATAAAAAATTAACGGCATTTTCTCTAAAAAATGCTGCTAAAATCACCGCTACAAATCTGTTTTGCTATAGTATATGTCTAAAAAATTAACGGTAATTGGTTCTGTTGAGTGGCTCGAGTTTGGACAAATCGTGAATGTACTTGTTGATAGTGAAAGACAGTTGAGCAGTTAAAAACTTGCTTCTAAATGGTAATAACAAAGTATTGTAAAATAAATAAATTAGCACTAATTTGAGCACCATTTTACAGACAAAAAAAAAATAAACAACGAACCTCAAGCCCAAACCAAATGCCACCGCTTCCTGCACAAACCATGGGAAAACCGCTCCAGTATTCCACTGCAGAAACAAATGCCAGAAACCAAAATTCAATCATTTCATTTATGTAAATGGGTATTTAACTTAGGCAAAAACACTGTAAGAG